TCGATTGGTCGAAAGAAATGCTCAAAAAATACGATCGCGGTGCTTCGAAACACGTCTATGACATCATGATAGGTGATTAATCGTGGAATTACGCGTATGAGCCCGAAAGAAAACAGCAGTCGACTCTATGGGTGTTTCAAGATGAGCAAAATCCAACAAGTTGTTTGCGCACGAAGCACTTCCAAAGAGATGGTCTTTTTTTTTTGTGTGAACTGCACTTGTCGCAACCGTACCACTAGAACAACGCAGAACAGTCAATTCTGAAAGGAACACAACGATTTGTTTCCGGCTGTCTTCCAAGAAATCAGGAAAACCAACCGCCAAAGACGGATCACTCTTCACCACGGTAATGCGAGCTCTCACACATCGGCTCAAACGACTGCATTTTTGAGCACCCAAAACATCGATTTGATGAGTCATCTGCCGTATAGTTCTGACTTAGCACCGAATAACTTCTTTTTATTCCCGTACGTAAAAAACAAACTGAGAGGTCAACGTTTTTCGACACCTGAAGAAGCGGTTGCTGTATTCAGAATGCATGTTTTGGAGATACCTCAATCAGAGTGGCAAAAGTGCTTTGACAACTGGTTCAAACGCATGCAAAAGTCTATAGACATTCATGGGGAATATTTTGAAAAACAATGAAGTGATTTTCGATGATTAATATTTGTTTTTGTTCTCTAATCCTGAAATATAAAAGGCATCCCTCGTAACTTGCAGTGCCACAGCGTGTAAATAAGGGTATACGTCTGTGTTTCCCAAGAGTTGCTTTGACGCGCGTTCGACTCGCCTTAAGTAATGCGCGTTGAAGATTAACACACACTATCATATGCGGAATAGCCAAATCGCTCGTGTGTCGTTTCGCATAAAGTACAGTGTTAATCTACGACACCCATATTAAAGCAACGCTCGTATGCGGGAGCCCTTAGTTCGTAGATCCATCATGCATTACCGTGATTTAATATTTTGTTTCGTTAGTAAATCTCTAAAAAATCATGACATGAACTATTGACAAAGGTTTGTGTTTCTCCTGACGTTTCTCTTATTTATTTTATACTTTTTAACATATTCTATTTTTTTGTTAGTAAATCGAAAGATAAATCCATCACGATAACTCACAGAATATTTTGTTTCTTGTGACGATTATCTTGTTTGTTTGATACTTTCTCTTCTATTCTAGTTTTTTCGTTAGAAAATCCCAATGACAACCCATCACGACAATTATTTGATGACGGCTTTCTTCTGAAGGCAAAAATATTTCTGTCGTTCGTAATTTGATGTGTACGAAAAAGACATTTCATGAACATATGTGAATAGTATTATAAGAAAATCTGCGCTGCAAAATTCCACATGCTTTTGAAATTTGGTAACGGCAATGTGTCCTTTACATCAGGTATAAAAAGGGGTCAAATATTTTTCGGATTTCTCCATGCTTGCTGTGTTGTTTATCAACAATTTTTTGCGACATTCTTTTTATTAAGTATATGTAATTGCAGTATTTCCGCATCTTGAGAGTTGATTGTCTTCGATTTATTGCCCATGTTTCCTTTCGTATTTTAGTACAATTCTATATAATATTTTTGATAGGAAAGTAGATTAATACTGTCATGCCAGAATTCATAGTCAAAGACATTAAGTGGAGATACCTCCTTAACGTAAAGCTTTTTACTACAAATAAAAATTGTATATTTGTGTCAGTTGATAATAGTAGTAATTTGCGAATATTATGCCACAAACAAGATACTCAAAATGGATATGGTAGTCAGTGAGATTTTTAATTTAATTGGTGTGTAAGTAAACATCTTGAAAGTATTGTAACATCGTTACATGAAATTTCTCCACATGTTCATTAACAGAAAGTGATCATCACCGATCTCATGATAAAAAGTTTGTATCATTGTTCACCAGTAAGAGTATAATTCAATTTCAAAGACAATTAGCAACAATTTGTGTGACACACTTCCTTTCGAAGTCGCTTACAACACTTCCTACAAGAATGCATTAGTTGTGTGGATATGGAAGGCAGTGCTCCATCAGTAAACAGCATAACTTCCATATTCTGCCATTAACATGATTAAAGTAAAACATATTACCAAGCATCAACCACCCAACCCAGAGTCTCACAACGTCTTGGGAACAATTAGATTCACCTATGTAAGCATTATGAAAAATGTACGCAGAAAAAGCATAGTTACAGCTTGTTGAGAACAATGAACCAGTAATTAAA